CCTGTACAATTTTTACTCGGATATCCATTTTACGTTAAAGGAATTCGTTCTGTCTGGTATTCGCACCAAGCAAATATGGATACCCTCGTGGCTATTGGAACCACCGTGGCATACTTCGGATCTTTGTTCAATGTCCTAATACCAATCGTCGAGCATAGAAGTGAACCGGGCCAGCAATTTTTTGAAACCAGTGTGTTTCTAATTACTTTTATTTGGTTGGGAAGGTGGTTGGAGGCAAAGGCAAAAGGTAAAACCTTTGAGACCATTACAAAGCTGATGGAGTTGCAGCCGGAAAAATCGACGCTTGTTACTATTAAACGTGATCCTCATGGACATGAACTTATCATCGAGAAAGACATTGATCTAGAGCTTATTCAAGGTAAATATTTAATCTTGTAAAAACCTATTCAAAAGATTTTTTCCTAAAAATATATGTCAATTTTATATAGTCGGCGATATTCTGAAAGTCAATCCTGGTTCACGGGTGCCTTGCGACGGTTAGTATTCATGAAATATACTAGGGAACTGATGTAATTTATTTAATTTTTGACTTCATTTCATATCAAAATAATTTCTTTATTTAGGTGAAATATTTCGAGGAACGACATCTTTGGATGAATCCACGTTAACGGGTGAATCAATCCCCGTAACCAAATCCGTGGGTGATAATGTCATCACTGCAACGGTAAACTTGACGTCGATGATTTGGATGAAAGCCACGCGCGTCGGTTCAGATACAACACTTTCTCGGATCATCGATCTCGTTCAGCAAGCACAATCGAGTAAGAAGGCTCCCATTGAAGCACTAGCCGACAGAATCGCACAGGTCTTTGTGCCTACGGTGATCACACTTGCTATCATTGACTTCATTGTGTGGATCTCGTTGGGTGCTGTAGGAAAAATTCCGAGCTCTTGGTTATCTTCCAACGAAAACCATGCCATTTTCGCTCTTTTCTTTGCTATTTCGGTTATGGTTATTGCTTGTCCTTGTGCCATGGGTCTCGCCTCACCTACTGCCATCATGGTTGGCACTGGTGTAGCCGCTCGTTATGGTATTTTGATCAAAGGAGGTGGTGAGGCTATAGAGACGGCCTTTCGACTTAACACTATTGTATTTGACAAAACTGGAACCTTGACCTATGGGAATCCTCAGGTTGTTGACTCCAAAATTTTGCACGAAGAATCATTTCCCGACTCAACTAACAACGAAGAAAACTTTCATAACGAGTTACTCCTACAAATCATTAGGCTTGTAGGATCTTCGAGTAATCATCCTTTGGCAAAAGCAGTAACCCATCATGTGGAAGAACGTCTGTCGGAGAAGAAAGACAATTATCGCATGACTATTAAATCTGTTACCGAGGTCCCCGGAAAAGGTCTTCAAGCTACCGTAATAATACACGACAATGCACTACAGAATTTGTTACCAACCGAAACAAATATTGATATTTCAAAGATTTTATCTTACAATGTCTTTATTGGTAATGAACGATGGCTCAATGAGAATGGTTGTGTTTATTCATCCTATTTCGCGCACGAACTCTCGCTTCAAGAATGGCAAAATTCAGGATATTCAATAGTTCTGGTTGGGTTTTCGGCAAATCTTGAGGACGAAAAGTTGAATCAGGAAAAATCTGGATATGTTTTAGCTCAGTTTGGAATAGCGGACACACCTAGACCGGACGCGTCGAAAACCATCACGATATTAAAATCTTTGGGAATTGATGTCTGGATGATGACAGGAGACCATCCGATTACCGCGAAATCTATAGCCAACCAACTAGGAATTGAAAATGTTCTCGCAGAAGTCACTCCAGAAATGAAGGCCGAAAAAGTAAAATGGTTACAACGAAGAGGACGTGTGATCAATTCGAATCGTCACAAATTTTCGAAATTTCTTTGTCGAGGTAATGACACCACGGAACAAATACAAAGGTCAATTGTTGCAATGGTAGGAGACGGAATTAATGATTCTCCAGCATTAGCACAGGCTGATTTGCCAATTTCAATTGCGAGTGCAACTGATGTTGCGATAGAATCGGCCTCGATAATTTTAACTAGATCGACGTTAATCTCTTTGATTACTTTGATTTCCTTATCAAAATCTATAATATTTAGGATTAGATTAAATTTTATGTGGGCTTATATTTATAACACCTTGGCTATACCAATAGCGGCTGGTGTATTCTTTCCTTTACTTAA